TTGCCGCCGTTGAAAACAATTTTTTTTTTTTTTTTTCCTTTCTTTTTTCAATTCGCTACGATTCGTCGAAAAGTTTCGGTTTCGATCGTTCGATCGAGCTCCCTTTGAACGTTTGGAAATTTAGCCTGGAGAAAGGAAGCGAGTTGTTGTATAAGCGAATTACATTAACCGGTTTGGAAGGTATTTTTAAGGTTTAAAAATGGATGGATTAGAATTAGAACGTGGAAAGTGAGAGAAATATAGTGAGAAAGTTGTCGTAATTTTCCTTTGATGATAATTATGGATGGATCGTTAATCGAAACGTTAAAGATCGAGAGTGTTTACTTGCGATTTTTTACAAGTTGGTTACAAAGTTGGAATAAGGAGCAGAGCAATTAGTACGCCCTCACGTGCGTACGCGTTGAAAAAAAATTGCAAAGTTTTGGAAGAGAAAAATTAAATCAGCTTCCAAGAAGCTGTTTTAATCTTATTTTATTAATCGTGTTACAAACTCATTAGCGACTGAAAATAATTATCGTATAATTACCGTAATTACACGTGAATTATTGCACGATATAATAATAACAAGAGACCGGTCGCGCGTCCGTCGAAAGTTTATTTTAAAATAAAGCCCCGGTCGTCGAACTCCGAATCGGTTTTCGCGGGTCGATAAATTATATTAATATACGTGGGTAGGATAGCTCGACAATCGAGATTAAACTTACAATTAGCGAGCAACTTGGTATCTTTAGCTCGTTTCTCTTTATCTTTCGATCGATAGAGAGGCAGGCCGTGTCTGTGTTTTGCTACAGGTAATAATTGTCCAATGTACTTTGAGTAAAATATCAGATATATAGGTTAAATGGATTTTGTAAATTATTATCGCGCATTAATAAAATTTTCAAGATACCGGTGTATATATATATATATATATGTACATATTGTTGAAAGATTTTGAATAATCTTGGTTTTGGTGAAATATCGGAGAAATATATGTAAACGTTAAGTCGTTTAATTAACCATACACGTCACAAGTACACGTGTGTATCGAACGATAACAATACGTGAATCCACTATTAGTGTCAACTGCACGTATATTAACCCTATTATCAGAATTTCAGAATATCGAACCGATAGTTTACCAATTTAACTGACATAAGTAATTAATATCACTGGGAGAATCAGGTCATTATGTTATGTACGTGGTTATATATGTAGCTCCACTAATTCGATTATTTGTTCCATAGAATACGAAATTCGAAGCTATCGATGCAGCATCGATAAAGGAAGCGTATTACAGTTAAATTATCTAATTTCTCGTTACGAAAGGAGGGAACAATCGTGGTATATCGTGGTTAAAAAAAATATCTTTCGAAAAATCCTTACCTGTTGCGTATAAATAACTAATCTCTCTGGAACGTCCAAAAAATGACCAAAAATATCCCCGAGCAATTATCCTTTCCACTCTTCCTTCCTTCCTTCCTTCCTTCCTTTCTCTTCTGTCCGCACGATCGAGAAATTACGATAATGTTCTCCATTACAATTAACGGAACAAGAATTACGCGTTCGAAGGTGAAGAGAGCACGTATATCATTAGCATTAAAAGAGACAGAAGGGGAATTTCGTGTAAAATATATACAAAGTATCGTAATCGAGGTGAAGTTGGAGCGAAATTTGTACACGGAGACATTTATACTCGAATAGTCGGTAGGATAGAAACTCTGAAACTCTAGCTACTTAAGCGTCTCCCGGTACGCGTCTAAAATCTGCAACGGTACTGCAGTATGTTCGTACTACTTTTACTTGTATCTCTTTCTCCCGTGTGCCTGAAACCTTGGTTGCGTGTATATGAAGCAACCTGTGCGCTCCGCGCTAAATCGAAAAACTTTACCACTCGACGCTCGAGTCAAGAGTAGAACGAATCGAAATAAAATGATAGTCGATGGTAAGAGAGGAGGGAGGGGGGGGGAGTTGGGATTAGGGCCAACTTCGGTTGCGGGTGCTTCGGAACGATAACGATGGGTAGAGAGAGAGTACATTTGCACGAAAACGAAATACGGACGTACCAGAGAGATACCATCTCTCTCTTCCTCCTTTTTCGAGAGAGAATACAGTCTCTCAAGATTCCATCGATCTTTTTTTCTTTTTCTCTCTCTCTTTATTTCCCATTCCATCGTATTTACCATCTTATGAATTTTCTATTTTATATTCGATGTATCAATTCGTACGTATCTTTTATCCGGTAAAAGATAAAATAGAGAGAGCGTTCGATTTATTAATACGATTAATAATCTCGACTTTTTTCCGTATCGACGAAATGACGGAAGAAGTTTTATACGGGAGGAGATGACGTTATATATCCTATATTATATTTTATGCATCTCGAATATCAGAGTTAAAGAAATACTTGGAAAAATATGAGAAATTAAGAAAAAGTTAATATTGAAATTAAACGGAATGGTATTGATTGTAAATAATACGGTTACTGATACGTCGTTTTTTTTATTATCGTAAAAAAGAAAGGGGGGGGAAGAAGATAAAATACAATCAAATTGTTTCGCGTCTAGAATTTTAATCGAGTTAATTTTTATTCGTACTCGAAAAAGCTCGATAAACGTCAATTAGGACGAAATTATATCATGGCGGAAAGGTGTGACGTATGTAGAAAGTGACGTGCTCATTGACGTATCATTAATCAAAGTTCAAAGCAAGTATAGCTTTAACCGGTAAACCGTTTAAATTATCGAAGTTTCTAGGAAAGTAGAATACCCCGTTATGGTATTGACACATTGATCGATCGTACAACTTTGAAGAAATAAATACTTTAAATGAAGTCGCATAAGAGATTATTCTTTAAATGATACGACTTTTTCACGAGTAACGTGAAACGATGCGATCGTTTTAAGCGTGCGTGCTTCCGACAAAAAGAAAAGAAAAAAAAGGAATAAATATTCACATAAAAGAAATGTAAAGCGTGTTTTTTAAGATTATTACATCGTTTCGCGTTTTCCATCGGAAAACATCGCGTTGCCTCGCCACCTTAATTCCCTCCTTTTCGTATATAGCGATCGACTGTTGGCTGAATCAGTCGAGGCAATAACACGAGAAAACGCCACCTGTTTCCAAGTGTTATGGAACCTCGGCCCTTTCGGTACCACCGTCCTTCTCACAACTCGCCACCGTAGA